GTCTTTATACAATTAAAATATCAGCAGACCTGCTCAAGATGGGTATAGAAAAACATCCAGTACAGTCCTTGATCATAGAATTGTTAAAACCTGAGAATCGTGTAGAAGTTATTTCAAAATACGAAATAATAAATTAGGGTTACCGAAAATCAGGGTCATTTACTTTATTCAGGTCGTAACCACCTGTCTTTACGTCTTTCATATAATTTATATGATATATTGATTATTATCTCGCATTTACTTTATATAAAAATTAATCAACTTTTAAAATCAGATAAATTAAAAAATATATCTTGTTGTTTGTTTTTCAGTTTCGCACAAAGCTACTCAGGGCTGTCTGCGATATCCCACCTCAGTTTTGAAGTGATAGATTAGAGGGAAGTCAGCTAGTCAACACCACACATCGCCAACTTTTGGGATACTCTTTACCAATGAATAACGGGAGTAATCGTCACGTTATAATATCCTCACGAATATAATAGAACGCACTTTCGGTGACGAGTTCCGATTCCACGACCCGCAGTTTACAAGTAGAGCACCTTATCTACCAAACCATGCCAGACTTGGAAGAAAGGGAGAAGACCAAACTAAGTTACTATGTCTATAATGTATGAAACACTGCAAAAACCTTGTTTATCGTTCAGCAAAAAGCTGCACAATGAGCTGCCTCTGCTGTGTCATCGCAGGGATTATACTCTTAATTTTATTATTAACGCGAAGACAACTGGGGTAGTGGGTAGAGTAAAATGAAAGGTTAATTAAAAACCTGTGGAAATTTGTCTTACACGCCACATTTGTAGGACTCAAAATTGAAAAGAAATATGAAAAAAGACAGAAAGATATTCCAGCAAAATTGAAAAGTGCATGCGCAGACGCACAGCAGGTGACTGATCTTGAACTACTCGAACAAAAATAAATTTAGTAATTCTTTAGGCCCGTAGGATGGAACAGATTTTCAAATTATCTTATTATTTATCGCTTCACTTTTTTATCCACATATTTTCCAAAATCAAGTGCCAGTAGGGAATAAATATCGATAGCGCTGAGTGGATTTTGTTTGAAGTTAAGCACAAAGCTACTCAATGGGCTTTCTGTGCTCTGCCCCCCACGGGTATCGAAACCCGGTTTCTAGCGTTGTAAGTCCGCAGACATTCCGCTGTGCCACTGGGGGAGCTAGTCATAAGAGTTTTGTTTTTATACTGATGGCAAAAATACAGTAGTTTTTGTCCATTGAAACCAAGATTTATGTTAAAATCATAAAGATTGATTTAAATTTTCCAAGCTACAATTTATACATTTTGCTGAAAAAATAAGTTATGTTTGTAAAAGTTTCTAGATGTTACCAAAAAACACCGTATACGTTTCTACACACTGATAACCAAAACATAGGAGAGAAGTTATTTCTGTTAACCCTTCCCAACATGCCAAATATAAGGTAAACTTTTTGTTTGTTTGTTGAATTTCGTGCAAAGCTATTTACGTTTGGTGCCTTTAACTTAAAAGTAAAAGACTAGAGTGAAAGCAGCTGGTCAACACCACCCACCGCCATCATTTTGGCTAGCCTAATCGAGTAGTGATATTGACTTTCACGTTATAACATCCCTATGGCTGAAAAGGCGAGCATATTTGGCTACGGGTTCCAATCCCGTAATCCTAACCATGCAAGGCCCTCTTGTTTTTTGATAAACTTGATATTATCACGCCAAATTATGTCGGTATGTTGTTTACTAGAATAGAAGCATCTCACAAGCCTAAAGTGGGTAGCATGGAACGGTCGAAAGGTAGGCCTAATCAATGTTGATAGCATGAAACAGTCAAAAAGTAGGCCTAAACAGTAGTGGAATTCTGCCAGGATTTATTTGATCTGGTTTTCGTCCAATCCGCATGTCTTCCATCGTACTGTCACTGTCAAAATAATGGTCTTATTCTTCTTAATATCATATACATATAGTAGTAGTATTTAGTAAGTAGGTTGAATAATATGGGTGTTGGGCTAAGGATTCTTCTACAATAGGTGTCTGTAACTTGTTGGCGATAAATTCAAAATAAACGAACAGCGTGCACTCCACTTGTTTAAAATATATATAAATATATATTCGAACAGGTTAAACGTATGTACAACAAATTATTTACACTACAGAGATCATATACATACCATAAACACTATATATAGTTCTCTTCTTCTTGTCGAAAGTCCACTTAGGCCTATTCAATTGCTTACAAATTTCAGTTCACAAGCCTAACTATATTTCTCTATTTCTATCGCACTAGTATTCCGCGTATAATTTACTTATAATTATAGCGTGAGTTACCACAGTCGCATACTGCTCTACCAGTAATCGTCTGGTCCTCATACTTCAGATATCAAAGTACACTCAGTCTGGTTCAATTACTCTAGAACTCGCTTTAACGGAATAAACTGTACTTTTTATCTCTTTTAAAACCGTTAGTTTTACTCTAACATATTAATCGTTAGGCACAGATTAACTGTTACGCCTTTCACTCCACCGGCAGTTAACTTTACGTTTAACTTTTCTTTGGCCGAACTTCTGCTTCCGTGACTTTAGTTTCTCGTTTGGTCTGTATGTCTGCTGTTCCTGCTCGTCTCACACAACTTATATATATTTATCACTTAATCGTCTGCTCGCATCCTATAAATTCTATATCCTCGACATCAATAAATATCACACGACATTCGATAGCCTCAACATAAATGAATTATGAATACAACGTACGATTCTTATCTACGAGTTACGTAACTAAACTTGTCATAATTTCTTTTAATTCCCTTGTTATGAAAAAAAAACAAAAAACAACACACACACACACTAAACAATCATGAAATACTCAATGACAAAATAAATA